TCACTCACTCACTCACTCACTCACTCACTCACTCACTCACTCACTCACTCACTCACTCACTCACTCACTCACATCACTCACTCACTCACTCACTCACTCACTCACTCACTCCACTCACTCACTCACTCACCCACTCACTCACTCACTCACTCACTCACTCACTCACTCACTCACTCACTCACTCACTCACTCACTCACTCACTCACTCACGCACCCACTCGCTCACTCACTCACTTGCTCGCTCGCTTGCTCGCTCGCTTGCTCAGTCACTCACTCACTCACTCACTCACTCACGCACGCACCCACCCACTCTCTCACTGACTCACTGACTCACTGACTCACTCACTGACTCACTGACTCACTGACTCACTTTCTCACCCACACCCACACCCTTGCCCGGTGAGTGAGGTGAGGTGAGGTGAGGTGCGGTGAGGCGAGGCAAGGTGAGGTGCGGTGAGGTGAGGTGAGGTGAGGCGATGAGGTGAGGCGAGCTGAGGTCAGGTGAGGTGAGGCGAGGCGAGGTGAGGTGAGGTGAGGCGAGGCGGGGTGAGGTGAGGTGAGGCGAGCTGAGGTGAGGTGAGGTGAGGTGAGGTGAGATGAGTGATGAGTGAGTGAGGGAGAGACCAAGAGCGAGGGGGAGAGAGAGCTGCGTTAGGGCTACACTTGGCGTGCAAAGCTGGACTTTGCAGCTTGACCTGCCAAGTGTACCTCGTATGCTAAGCTCGTTAAAAGTTGCGATTTTTCAGCCAGAGCTGCCGAAGTGTGTACACGTGCTGAAATGTTGTTTTGAGCCAGAGCTGCAAAAATCCAGTTCGTGTGCCTGAAAAGCCAGCGACGTTTGACACATGTCAGGGGCAAGTGTTGTGAGATTCTCACGTGCTTGAGGTTTGTGGACTTGTTGGTCTGGGAACCGCATTTCTTTTCATTCTTGTGACTCAGTGCCCCCGTCCGTGTTGTTTGCTGGTGCCTTCAGGTTTTGGTAGTGGTTTGCGTGTACGGCAAACCGATTGCAGGTATTATACGGATTTCAACTATCCGCCCGTCCGGCAGATTGCGCAGGCGTGCCATTTTCGCACTTGCGAGTCAAGAATTGAATCGATCAGTTTTGCAATACGCCGGCAGCGCATGTGCACCTTCACCACAGGATATTGGTCACTGCCTTTGCCAGCCTAACCACCGAGAAAGTTTGAGGCGTGCGCCAATGCCAGGCTAGCGTGACTGGGCATGGAACCAATGTCATTGCAGGCATGGCAGCGAGGGCCCGAGAACGCGCCGTGCCAACGCGACAGAGTTGCAATTGAGGTGGGTATGCGTGCGACTGCAGCGCCTGCCGCAATCATATGCGTGGCGCTTCTATGCTCGTACAAGGTGGATGTACGTCTTGTACGTGTCATTTCTTGTCTCATTTCTTCTTGTGTAGGTGGGTCGTCTTGTGTCATTTCTTCTTGTGTCATTTCGTCTCTTTTTTGTCGTTTCGCCAGACTGGCATGGCGGCTTTCGGCGGGCTGCCGAGTGCTGGCCTCTTTGGCACGGCTGTTGCCACTATGGGCCCGGGCCTTTCGATTCCTTCGATTCGGCTGGCCACAAATGCGTGCGAAGTGAATTCTAGTGAGTTCATGAGGCATGCTTTCCACTGTGGGCATCTGAGCTTGTCGGCGCAGGGTCAGACAAGCGATGACTCAAACTCCTGCTGCGCAAGTACGAGTCAGGTCGTTTTCGTGCTTGCCATGGATGTTTTCGGTCCAATCACAGACAATGCTTTGGCCTCGTGAACGACGCGTAAGTTGTTTGCTCCAATGATGGTCGCATGAGGCTGGTGGCATTGTGGAGATGAGCGAGCAACCTGATAGCGCAGCTAGCTTATCGTCTGTGAGACAGCATGTGATGCGTCTTGTTTGCTGCTTTTAGGAGTTGGATGGTGCTATTTTTGTCACAGTTGGTAATGGAGGCAGCTAGTACTGGAGTGCCCGCATCGCATGTGCGCGCAAGCGTGCAAACGCACGCTCGAACGCACGCAATCGACGCAGGCGACGCAAGCAACGCACGTGCGCGGACGCACACTCGCGCATGCGCACGTGCCACACCCGCGCGCACCCACACAAACACACACGCACGCAATCGCGCAGGCAAGGTTGCCTCTTGAATTGCATTTGATGGCGTTTGACGCAGATTGATTGAGGTTCGCAACATCACCGACAGCCTGGATGCTGTCGGCAACACCACTAAGGCTATCACGAAGGACGGCATACCTGATGGTTTGCTGCATCCTGATGTGTGTTGCCTTGTGCGCAGGGTTTTTCAGTGGGTTCCGCAAGCCTGGCGCTCTCAGCTTATTCGAGACGCTGCTGTTGAGCGTTGCTTTGATTGTCATGCATGTCATGCTTGGGCGCGACCAGCTGGCTGAGTTGCTTTTTGCTGTTCTCTGCCTTCCTCGATGAGGCCGGCTTCTCTTGCCTCAAAGGTGGGGACGCGGTTGGATTTGCAGGTTGGAGAAATCGCGGGTCAGAAAGTTGCAGCTTGGCGGACGGCAGACCTTTTCTGGCGTGGCACGGTGGAGCCAAGGATTCTGTGAACATCGCCGAGCCAGAGGCTGCGGTCTGTGAGTCGAGTCACCGAGTTGGTGATTCGCGTAGGTCTTTCTCGGGGGCATGGCGGGTGCCACCTTGGTGTTCTACTTCAGTGGCCAGTGCATGACGGCAGCGCGTCCCTGAGAGCTGCAAGCGGCAGACGGCCAGGGAGCTTTGATAGGTGGGCTCTGCAGCCCAAGAAGTCGTCAACAACGTGCCAGCTTCCCGGGGAGCTGTACGATCTCGGAATCAATGTGAGTTCTGTGTAGGCGGCTGCAGTTTAAAGAGCGGCCTGGCATTATGGATGGCTCGCAGAAACCTGACTATGCCTCGTGACATGCTCAGCTTGCGGCCTGCAAACTGTGCCACAGGCGCACTCCCATTCCTTTGCTCAGGTGCGTCAGCATTGTGACACAGGCGGCGCTCCGAGAAATGGTTGCCCCAGGCAGGATTTGCACCTCGGGCGCTGGCGAGAAGCAGATATTGCGCTCCAAGAGGCGTGGTTGCGACCACCGTACCTCTTTGCGCACGGATCCAGGGATGCCAGAACCTCTGGTGGTAGCTCTTTTGCGTGAGGTTGGTTTCTTTTTCCGGATGACTTCCAGCGGTCAGCGCCCCAGCGATGTTTCACCTGTGCCCCCGTAAAGTGTTGCGGCCGAGGGTTTGCTTCCACTGCAGACAACTCTAGACAACTCTATTCGATATTCTCATTTGTGAGGCACACCGCAAGGGACAATTCCGGAGGTATGTGCCAAATATCAAGATCGAACTGCGTGTTGCTTTATTGCGGATTACGGCGGGTACGTTGAGGCTTACCCCAATCTCGAGATCTGCAACACCTTTTTACACCACCGAACCTTTTCCAGAAATCACACCTTTTCATATTCACATCGGTTTGTATGGCTTGCCCTTTGCTTGCTTTTTGCTTGCGCTCTGCTTGGCAGTCAGTTGAGTCGGTTGCCGCGATGTTGCCGACTCTTTGCCTAGGCGCGGACAAGCTGATCGGAGCCAAGGCTCCGGCCATGAAGGGCATGCCGAGCGAGAGAGGGAGGGAGGGAGAGAGGGGGGAAGCCAAGGCGGTCGCAAGCTTCTTGATGTTTGCCACGGCTTCGGGCGTTCTTTTCGCGATATTCCTGAACACAGCAGGACCCAGCCTACTTTGCATCACTCACAGAACTCACTTAACGCAAGGAGGCGCATGGGACAACGCCAAGAAGTGCTCAGTGTCTCCCAATGTAACTTTTCCCGTCCGAGCCTGTGCCTGTAGGTACATCGAGCAGGGAGTGCACGGTGGGAAGGGCAGCGCAGCTCACAAGGTGAAGGGCGCAGAGGGCGCAGCTCGTTTCAAGCCGTTGCGTCCCGTCTCGTCTTTTGCTTTCAGGCAGCGGTGACTGGTGACACAGTCGGCGATCCAAGCAAGGACACGCGAAGCGCGCAAAATATTGTAGCCGCGTTGCCGTTTGGAGACAGGATACAGCTGGACCATCTTTGCATGTGCTTATCAAGCTACCCTGCCATGTGTTTTCCAACTAAAACATTATTTGTTTGCTCCATTCTGTTCTGCGAGCATTGCTTCCAAAGACCAGCGCTTGCATTGCCAGGCTTCTCTCAACCATTACCTTAGTATGCTCACCGCTCTTCGTGGCCTCTTGACAGGCAAAAGCAGCACGTGCTTGCATAGTCGTTGAAGCAGTGTCCTGCGTAGCCACTGGCACGGTTTCTGTTGTACAGGCTAGGGCCACACGGCCCTTGACACAGCTGCTTTGGCTCAAGACAGCAGGTGTTGGCAGAAGGTGGCGCGACACCGCTTGGAGCTCGAAAGGAGGGGTTTTGTGTTTCATAAAGTGTTGCTGCCCAGTTATTCCATTGGAGGTGCGAAACTAGCAAACACGTCAGGCTGTAGATTTTGTTTCACGGCGGCCACCCAAATCCCGGAGTGCAGTGCTCGCTCTGGAAGTGATGGGCGGCCTGGTTGTGGCCGACACATGCAGGGGAAGCGGCGCGTGAGTTTGATTTGGACAACGGACCCGACGCAAGGTTCGAGGTAGCAACCAAGCTATTTTAAGGCAACAGGCTCTACTGAATTCTGAACTCTGTAGAGCTCTCAATGTAGACTCGGCATTGTTGGGGAGAAGGAACTGGCTTCAAAGGGGTGGCTCTTCTACATGAAGAGCCCACAACGCGGGGAGCTGCTCGGATTTAAGTTGCTCTTCAAACTGAGCAGCCCCGTTTTGGCACACTTCCAGGTTCAGATTGAATCCATTCAGGCTTTCACATATCCCCGCGCCATCCGCCCAGTGCAGCCGTCCAAGTGCTCAACTTGGAATGCCAGAGATTAGTTTATCGCACTCAGGCTCAGAATGACCCAGGAGGAACTACTTTTTGGTCCTACGCCCTGGTCGTTTAAGTCCTACACAACATTTCCCAACATTTCTGATTGGATTCTTTGGCCTTTCACTGGGTCCTGCTCGGAGCGTTGGCTCAAAGAGTTGCAACGGAAGTGGGCCTTTGGTGAGGCAAGCTGCTTGCATGGCACTGGGTGTGCCTTTCTGAATTTTTAATTCCAGGTCGTGGCAATGGTCAAGGAGCCTGATGAGACTCATGCAGCTATTCTGCAACTGCAACGCTCAGGAGGGCTATGGCGGCCCAGCGCATGTAGATGCGCCCAAGAGGGTGGCGATCTATGGTGGTGTCGGCACCTCATGCGGAAGCCGCTTATTTGCCTTGGCCTGGGGACAAGGCATTCGACCCGCCCACCAACTCGCACTTGACCTGTGCTGCAGAGATTGCGCAATGCTTAAAATGCCCGAAAGGCTTAAAATGCCCCATCTCCCAAAGATCCAAGTCCATCTGAGTTGCGTAAGCCGGCGTAAGGTACACAGCGGCTGTGCAGATGAAGTGTGGCTGGTGCCTTGTGGCCCTCGACCTGACAAGCCGAAGCTCGCATCAAACGGCTCAGCTCGACCGTCGTCGACCGTGCCTCGCGTTTACTGAGTCTGAGTCGCTCAGGAAACTCAAGACACCAGCAATTGATAGATACTGTGCTATGCCAAGATGGGCTAGGAGTCCTACTGGGAAGTGGCTCAGTAGTGGCTCTGTTTCACTGAGGCATGTGCCAAATTGCCGTAAACACGGTATTCTCTCCAGATTTTCCCGTGAAGGTCAGGAGCTCAGTGCCGTGCGTCACTCTCGTTGGATTCCTGGAGGTTTCCGACATTGACACTGGTAGACAGATGGCCGCTTTCACCTACGATCTGCTTTGCAGCCTCCGGGAGCTGGGTTTTGCCTCCTTTTGATTGATACAGCATTCACTTTCAGGAGCGCCACCCTGGTGTGCAGTTCGCGCGACTTGGCATTCCAGGCTTTTGAAGTCACACTGTCCCGAAATTTGCTTGCTTTGCTTGGCAAGCGTAACTGACTCAAGATTTACGTTGCTGGCGCACAACCGGCCGCGGCAGCATCGCGAGACTCAACCTCACAGCTCCTGCAAGAACATAAACATACATACATTTCCTTACTTGCACACATACACACATCCATTTTCCAAACATCTTCCCTCAGTTTTCCATCCATCTTCCACATGTTCCATCTATTTTCTAACCATTTCCCGTCATTTCGCCATGTCCCCTTCACCGCCCGCCCGCCACACGCACGCAGGCACGCGCGCACAAGCACACACGCGGGCACGCACGCGCGCTCACGCACGCACACCCACCCACGCACGCGCTCACGCACCCACGCGCCCACCCCCACACAGAGACACACAGACACACAGACACACAGACACACACACACACACACCCACGCACGCACGCACACGCAGACACACACACAGACACACACAGACACACACACACACACACACCCACGCACAGACACACACACACACACAGACACACACAGACACACACAGACACACACACACACACACCCACGCACGCACGCACACACACGCACACAGACACACACACAGACACACACAGACACACACACACACAGACACACACACACAGACACACACACAGACACACACACACACACAGACACACACACAGACACACACAGACACACACAGACACACACACACACACAGACACACACAGACACACGCAGACACACCCACACCCACACCCACACCCACACCACACACCACGCACCACGCACCACGCACCACGCACCACGCGCCACGCACCACACACCACACACCACACACCACACCACACACCACACACACACACACACACACACCCACGCGCGCGCACGCACGCACGCACGCACGCGCTCGCACGCACGCACGCGCGCAGGCACGCGCGCGCGCACGCACGCACGCACCCCACAGACACCCACCCACCCACCCACCCACCCACGCACGCACGCACGCACGCACGCACGCACGTGCGCACGCGCGCGCGCACGCACGCATGCACGCACGCACGCACGCACGCACGCAAGCGCACGCGCGCAAGCGCACGCAAGCGCACACACGCGGCGTGCGCGCGCGCGCGCTCGCACACGCACGCACGCAGGCGCACGCGCACACGCGCGCATGCACGAAAGCATGCGTGCACGCACACGTGCGCGCACGCATGCACGCGCGCAGGCCCGCGCGCCTGCGCGCACGCGCACGCACGCCTGGGCCAGTTGCCACGCAAAACGCATGTCAAAACCAAACGTTTTCCTTGGTTTTCTGCAGTAAAAGCCCTGCATTTCAACGTGTTTTTCCGGTGTTTCAAGGCTGCAGCAGGCAGCTCCCAGCAACATCCCCAGCATCACCAGCATCACCCGCATCACCGGGGCAAGACCGCAGACTTGCAAGCCCAAGGCTGCAGACCCAAAAACAAGCCCAAAAACGCACCCGCCAGAAGCAGATGATGCAGGTGATGCTCATCACTTTCCTTTTCACGCATCCTCGGCATGCGCAGGGTCGGCGGCGCCATGCGGCAGCCCCATAGAGCTTCTAGAGCCTTGCTCCAAAGGACCAAGGTGGTAATCCGACACAGCCGTTCGGCCAGTTGGCCACAGCCGGATTTACTGCTGACGCACCACCGGCCGCGCCGGCAGCCTCAGTTTACTCAGTCTGTTCGAAGCACGGGGCAACTTGCGCGATGCACGTTTGCGGAAGGAAGCAGGCCCATAAGCGTGTGGCTCAGGCAATTTTTGACGACTTGTTGAGCATATCACGGGGATGTTGTCACCTGAGTCGGGCAAATTTTGCCGAGAACCTTCAAAAACACAGTGTTTTTGAAGGTTAGGCTTTTCGGTGAACCGCAGAAAAAGCACTGTGTTTTCGATAGTTTTGTATGGATTCAAGGCCGGGCGCGCAAATGTGGAAACCTGCTTAGCAGGCAGGGCTCACCTCTCCCCGGCCGAGCCCGATTTCTGGCAGCGTTTTTGGCGAACCAGTAGAAAAACGGTTGCGAAAATCATGACAGCGCGTGGAAAACTGAATCCGGGCGCCCCAAGCTCGTGGTTTCCCCGAGGCCTTCGGCACTGCTAAGGGGCGAAGGATTTGTGAATTTGTTCAGGCGGTTTTTTACGACTTGTTGAGCATATCACCTGCATCGTCCGCATCCATGGCGTCGGGGTCTACCTCAAAAACCAACATACAGGACAGTGATCCCGCGGGGGCGGCGGCACCGGGCGGCAGCCCTTAAATCCGGGCGCCCCAAGCCCGTGCTTTCCCGGAGGCCTTCGGTTCCCTCTAACCGAAGGTTATAAGGCTCGCGCCCCCTGCCGCCGACCGAGCATCCCCCGCATCACCAGCCTTATCCGCATCAATGCCCGCCATGGATGCGGACGATGCAGGTGATATGCTCAACAAGTCGTCAAAAATCGCCTGAACAAATTCACAAACCCTTCGCCCCTTAGCAGTCAACGCAGCCTCCGTTCGACACGGAGTGAACGTGGAGTGAACCTAGAGGGCGCGAGCCTTATAACCGTCGGTTAGAGGGAACCGAAGGCCTCGGAGAAACCACGACCCGGATTAAGGGCTCGGGCGCCCCGAAAAGGATCAGTTTTCGCAACCGCGCGGCCTGGAACCCATACAAAACCAGCAAAAACACTTGGTTTTCTACTGGTTCGCCAAAAACGCTGCCAGAAACCGGGCTCGGCCGGGGAGAGGTGAGCCCTGCCTGCTAAGCAGGTTTCCACATTTTCCACGTTTGCGCCCGGCCTTGAATCCATACAAAACTATCGAAAACACAGTGTTTTTTCCGCGGTTCACCGAAAAGCCTACCAAAAATCGAGTTCGGCCGGGACCATTGAAGCCTGCCTGCTAAGCAGGTTTCCATATTTTCCACGTTTGCGCCCGCCAAAAACCTTCAACAACACTGTGTTTTTGCACGTTCTCGGCAAAATTGGCCCGACTCAGGTGACAAGGTGGATGAACAGGTCCGTCATCGTGCCGTCCAGGCCCTTGAAGGTGAACCGAGCAAGGTCACCCGAGCGGGTGCTGACACCGGCTGGTTTTGGTAGGCTCTTGTTTCCGGTTTGGGCAGCGTTCCTAGTCCTTTTTTGGACTTTCCGGTATCGTGAGGCAGACTGCGGGGTCTGCGGATATTCGGGCTGCCTTTTGGTATTGCTTTTTTTTGGTTGGCCTGTATACTGGTCTCCGGTGTTTGCGGATGCTCGGGCTGCCTTTGTATGTCGGTCTGTGAGGTAGACCCTGGCATCTGTGGATACTTGGGCTGCTGTTGGCAGTGCTTCTTTTTTCTTGGGGGGTACTGTATGTATGTATGCAACGTGTACTCCGACGACGGCTCCGAGTTCAAGAGGGAGTTCAAGGAGCTGATGGATTTGTGGGGGACATCGAGAAGCAGGTGACCAGGGGCCATATGTATGTATGTATGTATGTATGTATGTATGTATGTATGTATGTATGTAATGTATGTATGTATGTATGCATCTATGTATGTATCTATGTATGTATGTATGTATGTATGTGTATGCAAAGTATGTATGTTTGTATGTAATGTATGTATTGTAATGTAATGTAATGTAATGTATGTATGTAAGTATGTATGTATGTATGTATGTATGTACTGTATGTATGTAATGTAATGTATGTATGCATGCATCTATGTATGTACCTATGTATGTATGTATGTATGTATGTATGTATGTGTATGCAAAGTATGTATGTTTGTATGGAATGTATGTATTGTAATGTAATGTAATGTATGTATGTAAGTATGTATGTATGTAATGTATGTGTGTATGTATTGCAATGTACTGTAATGTAATGTAATGTATGTATTTGTGTGTGCATGTATGTATGTATGTATGTAATGTATGTATGTATGCATGTATGTATGTATGTAATGTATGTATGTGTATGTATGTATGTAATGTATGTATGTATATGTATGTATGTGTGTATGTATGTATGTATGTATGTATGTATGTATGTATGTATGTATGTATGTATGTATGTATGTATGTAATGTGTGTAATGTGTGTAATGTGTGTAATGTGTGTATATATGTATGTATGTATATACTCAATGTATGCATGCATGCGTGCATGTATGTGTGTATGTATGTTTGTAATGTATTTATGTATGTACGTATGTATGTGTGTATGCATGTATGTATGTAATGTAATGTAGCGCATTGTAATGTAATGTAATGTATGGATGCATGTATGTCTGTGTGTGTATGTGTGTAATGTACGTCACGTACGTCATGTATGTATTTATTTGTGTATGTATGTATGTACGTATGTATGATGATGATGTGGATGATGACGCTGATGATGATCATGACCGTGCGGAAGATGAGGAAAAGTATCATCGTAGCATCCGCTGCATCTCCAACGATAACAAACACATCTTTTGAATCTCAAATCTCATGATAATCATCACTATGCATCCTCAGCATCACCAGCAGCCATGATGATAATTATGAATACGCGTCTTCTGCATGGCAAATCGGGCGATGATACTTATCACTACATGAACACGTCATATGCGCCTCAAATCGACAATGACGACAACGGTGATGATGATGACGATGATGATCCGCTGCATCTCAAGACAAGTGATGATGATGATGATGATGACTACGAGGAAGATGACAGGGATCAGCCGCGTCATCACAACTATCATCGCAGCATCCTCAGCATCACCAGCAGTCATGAGGATAATCATACATACGCTCCAACCGGGCGATGACAATTCAGTTATCACGACGCCTCCCGGAGCATGAGGATGATGATGATGATAGCGGTGGTGATGAGGATGATGACTATGAGGAAGCTGATGATCGTAGCGATGATGATGACATCGTAGCATTGCATTTCCAACAATGCCGATGACAAGTATCATCGCAGCATCCCCTGCATCTCCAACAGTGGATGATGATGTTGATGACAACGGTGATGACGAGGATGACTGCGAGGAAGATGAGAATGATCATTCGCGTCGTCGCAAGAATCGTCGCAACATCCTCTGCATCTCTGGCAGCGCCTGGATAACTATCATCGTAGCATCCGTTGCATTGCAAGTGCTTTCTAACGTCCCTTTTGACTTCTAGATAAGAAGTAAAGAAAGGATGATGATGATGATGATGATGATGATAACGGTCATGAAGTATCATCGTAGCATCCGCTGCATCTCCAACGACGACGATGATAGGTATCATCGTAGCATCCCTTGATGATGATGATGGCCAAGAGGAAGATGAGGAAAAGTATCATCGTAGCATCTAACGGTGATGATGATGACCATGAGGAAGACGATGAAGAGTATCATCCTAGCATCCGCTGCATCTCCAACGAGGACGATGACACGTATCATCGCAGCATCTGCATCTCCAACAGTGGATGATGATGACGATGATGATGATGACAACGGTGATGATGAAATGAGGAAGATGATGGCGATCATCCGCGTCATCACAACTATCATCGCGACATCCTCTGCGTCTCCAGCGGCGCCTTGACCACTATCATCGTAGCAGCCCTTGAATCGCCAATGGAGCCGAGCGATGATGATGATGATGACGATGATGAGGAGGATGACAACGATGATGATGATGATGACACCCTTCGCCCTTGCAACAAGGGGTCGGCGGATTTCGCTTCGATGTATGCATGTACTAGTATCACAGTCCACTTGCCGTCACGATTGCCTACGACTGCCTGTTGACATGCTGCCTCATTGACCTTTGATGCTTTCGTTTATACATTCTCGGACTCGTGAAGATGAGGTGGGTGTGTTTCTGCACAGCAACCAAAGAGAGCATTGGCGCAGCGCGCATGCCTTTCCGCTGGTCGGTCGGTGGACCGATCGGGCAGCAAGAAGGAGCACGGCAAGTGCCAATCTGACGCTTACAGCTTACACTTTGTGCTCATGATACTTGAACAGATATTGGACCCAGATTATCAGTGCGTCCAGTATGCTTTGAAATGTATGTACGAACTCGCATGTCTGCCTTGGTGTCTCAACCGCAATGACATGTTGGCAAGAACTCAGAACCGGTGCTCGCAATGTTTCCTCAGCACCAGCAATAAGGACCACGACTGGGGCAGCGGCAGCTGTTCTATCCATTTCTCACTGAGTCTTGTAGACTCTGCCGATAGTGATGTTCTCAGCGTGTTTGATGCGGCTTTTTTGAAATCGCTACGCCGCCGACGCCAGTGGACAGTCCCCTATTAATAAACTGGGGCTGATCAATCTGGAGTCAGCGCTGGCTCAAGGGACAATTGCCAGACCAGCGCTGCACAAAGTCAGATCGCTGGTCAGAAGGGAAAATGGAGAAACCCCTATAAGGCAAAAAACACATCTTCTTTTTCCTGTCTCACTTGAGGCCTGTAGAGACGTTTTTTTGCCTAGGTCACACGGGCTCTTGACGCGTGGAAGGAGAATACAAAAAGCTTCTCTGACGTAAACAATGCCCCTCTGAAGTCGGCTGCCTCGAATTCGTGGATAGGAAAAGACTTTTTGCTTAGGTCACGTGGGGCGCTAAGCGCGTGGAAGGAGAACTCCCCTCTGACGTCACGTTTTTTTTGCTTAGGTCACATGGAGCTCTTAAAATGTGGAAGGAGAGGGTGCCTCGAATTTCGGGCAAGGAAAATAATGTTTGTTTGCCTCGGTGACACGGGGCTTTTAACAAGAATGCAAACAACGCCGCTCTGACTTCGGCCGCAGTGGTATAAAGGCAAGGCCCCAATCTTTTTGTAAGTGCAACAAGGCCTTCTTGGCACTTTCCTGTTTTTCATGTCCCAGATGCTGAGGATGCTGAAAATTGCAAGGGATGCAACCACACAACTTACAGGAACAGACCCAATCTTCGCGCTCAAGATTTTAAGACTTTCAGACACGCAACATTGACCAAACACAGAAAATACCAGAAATGTGGGGAATGCTGGGAATGCAGCCGGCTGGCCACAAAAAAAGTGCAAAAACTAGGATCTTCGATGTTTCCTAAAAGCAACCATCAAAAAATGATACTAGCAACCCCCCTCAAATACCCTAAAAATAGACTTCCAACAGCACGATAATGCAGGTGGAAAAACACTCATTTTTGCAAATTTCAATGTTCCTCAAAGTCTCACTGCACTTGGCCCCACCCAAACCCCTAACAGGCCAATTCCAACATCGCTTGAAACAGCAAATACCACTAGTATCTGCAACAAAGCAGACGAATTCATGGCAACAGGATAATTGTGATGATGCTGGGGATGCAGATCCTGCACGTTCTGGGGAACCCCCCCCCCTAGACCTAGGCGAAACGCATACTTTTAGCACGAAAGACCCAAAAACACTGGAAACATGACACCTATGGCTTTGACAAGAGATTCCGAAGGAAGAGCAAGTTGCGGACTGCCATCTACACGCTTGACTGGCGTCGGCGAATTTTCTGAGTTGCAGAATGCGCTGCACTCAAAGCACTTTTGTTCGCACGCGCGCATTAATCCACACACACGCACAGACATGAACACGCATCGTAGTTCGTCCTCGCTTTACAAGCGCGACTTCAGCAGCGTTGGCATGAGTGGGAAGTCATTCGTTCGGAGTGAGAAGTCCTAGGTTCATTATTGGCTCAGACTGGCTGCAGCCTGGTACCAACATTGCCGACAGATTCTCAGACTGCTGCGCTGCGCAGTTTTTTTCAAGGTTTGGGCCATGCAGGAGTGGACATCTTTGAACCATGATTGGAAGCCGGGAATGCCAGAGGAGCTGATTGCATGTGCGCAGACTCTGGAATTGATGCAAAAACATGGCAACAAAGACAGAGACAGCGACAGAACAGACATAGACTAGACCTGCAAAGCCCTTGACAGGAAAGCAAGGTCATCGTAACGGGTCACAAACTCCTTGAAGAGTCGCTTGGTCAACCAAATCTTCAGCTTGCTATGGTGACTTTGTGTCTGTGCCGAGGTTTGAGTTTTTGGTGGTTCCTCGACCTGGCTATGACGTCGCCCGAACAGAGGATGCTGACATCTAACGCGCGCGTCGGAGCAGCAGGTTGTCTTGTTTGACAGGAGGACCCCAGCGGCCTCAAGGCGTTCGGTCCTCGCCTGTCGTGGATGCAGATGCCGGAGCTGGCCTCATGAATGCAAACACGCGAACGACGCAAACAACGCGAGTGCATGATAGTCCAAAGCACCAACCGCCTTGCAGCGTTGCCCGCGAACATGCGTGTCATTAAGGAGCCAATGCATCTCATAGAGGGCAACCTGTCCTCGACGGACTGGCAGTCCCAATGCTGCAGTCCTGTTTTGGCCGGTAGTTTGGCAGTCCTAATCTTTGGTTTGCTTCGTTTGCTTTATTGCCGTTCTGCAGAACGTCAAGCCAACGGTTGCCACAGCGCGGACTTTTGAATTGCACCTTTGAGGGGATGTGTTCTGCCTCTTGCCTCTCTTGCCGCGTCAGTTGTCATTCATGAGGTACTGACTAATAGCGATTAGTCACATTTGCGCCCAGTCCTGGTGACAGTTGATTTGATAGAAGGCCGCTTGAGGCCCTTTACTTGAGCGAGTCTTTCCTGGCAGGAGATCAGAAAAAGGACCCACCACTCCTGGCAGGTGCAACAGGCAAGTGGCCTTGCAAAATGCTCACGCTATGTCTACCCCTTGGCAACACAGGCTGTCCAGGGGGGCAAGCTGAGTACCATTGAAGGGCTTGTGCCGCCTGGCATTGTGCCACTTGGAGGCATGTATGTCCACCGCACGCAAGGGCTTGCGCGTATTATGCAAGGTCATACATTCGTCGTGCCAGATTTTACGTGGACTGAACGAGATCAGAGGAAGTTGGCGAACTGCTGCTTTGATTGATTTGCACGGAAGTTGGAAAATGCCGGCCTCCTGGGCTGGGCTTGCAGGCTCGCTCGAAACAGAAACAGGATAATCGGCGCATGAACACAACCGCCGCAAACAGCCTCAGAAGTCCCACCACCACCGCCAACAACAACAGCAAAATCCCCACCGCCACCACCACCGCCACCACCACCACCAACAACAGCAGCAGCAACAACAACAACAAGAACCACCAACCGCCAACCATCAACCACCAACCACCAACCACCAACCGCCAACCACCAACCGCCAACCGCCAACCACCAACCACCAACCAACCACCAACCACCAACCACCAACCGCCCACCCCACCAACACCCCACAAACCCCAACCCCGACAACCCCGACAAACCCGCCAACCCCAACCCCACCAACCCCAACCCCACCAACCCCACCAGCCCCACCAGCCCCACCAACCCCACCAACCCCACCAACCCAACCACCCCACCAACCCCACCGACCCCACCCACCAACCACACCAACCACACCAACCACACCCACCACCAACCACCACCACCCACCACCACCCACCACCACCAACCACCAACCACCAACCACCAACCACCACCAAAAACCAACCACCAACCGCCAACCGCCAACCACCAACCACCAACCACCAACCGCCAACCGCCAACCGCCGACCGCCAACCGCGCCAACCGCACCAACCACACCAACCGCACCAACCGCACCAACCACACCAACCACACCAACCGCACCAACCGCACCAACCGCACCAACCGCACCAACCGCACCAAACGACACCAACCGCACCAGCCACACCAACCGCGCCAACCGCACCAACCGCACCAACCGCACCAACCGCGCCAACCACACCAACCACACCAACCACACCAACCACACCAACCGCACCAACCACCAACCACCAACGACAACGAGGACGACAACGACAACGACAACGACGACAACAACAACAACAACCGCAACAGCAACCAACATGCTAGGTGCATTTGTTTGTTGTTGTGTTGGCAAAGTCATGAACAGTCAGAAAGCCATGCGTTTTCTGTGGAAATACGCTCACTGCGTTAGTCGACAAAGTCATGAACAGTCAGAAAACCATGCGTTTTGCGGGGAATATCCTAGGTGCAGTAGTTTGTTGTTGCATGGGCAAAGTCATGAACAGGCAGAAAACCATGCGTTTTGTGGGGAAATATGCCAGGTGCACTAGTTGTTGTTGCGTTGCTTCTGGTTAGTGTGAAGTTGACAAAGCCATGAACGGTCACAAACATCCTGCGTTTTGCAGGTGAAACATGGCAAGTGCGTTGGTTGCTGTTGCGCTGCTGTTGGTGACTGCGTCATGTTGACAAGTTAAACAAGCCATAAAAAAGTCAAAAAATGAAGAAACCCATTCTTCTTTGCGGCGCTCAGATTTGACGCCGTTCGTTACCAACCACGACAACCACGACAACCACAACAACAACATCATCATCAACAACAACAGCAACAACAACAACAACAACAACAGCAACAACGACAACAACAACAACGACCACAACAACAACAACAACAACAACAACAACAACAACAACAACAACAACAACAACAACAACAACAACAACAACAACAACAGCAGCAGCAACAGCAGCAGCAACAACAACAACACCAAAACACCACCAGCAACAACAACGGCAACAACGGCAACAACAGCAACAACAACAACAACAACAACAACAACAACAAGGCATCCGCGTCTTTCGCCGCCGTGGAAGGCGGCGCGTTTTCCAAGGCCCTTGTTTCCAAAACGCAGAACTGTCAATCTTTTTCTTTTTTTCAAAATGTCCGGTTTTTGAGAAGGGTTATGGCTCAAAACAACGAAACCAAGAAACAAACTTGTGCCTCGCCGTGGAAGTTTTTGAAGGCGCAGTGCAGAATGATGCATCTGAGCGGGTGTTCTTACCAGTTTGCTGGCATGTGTGCAGTGCTGAGCGGGTGAGCGTGAGCGGGTGATCTTACAATTTGGCAGGCATGTGTGCCGTGCTGAGCGGGTGTGCGTGGACGGGTGTTCTTACCATTTGGCAGGCATGTGTGCAGTGCTGAGCGGGTGCGCGTGAACGGGTGTTCTTACCATCTGCCTGGCATGTGTGCAGTGCTGAGCGGGTGCGCGTGAGCGGGTGTTTTTACCATTTGGCAGGCATGTGTGCAGTGCTGAGCGGGTGCGCGTGAACGGGTGTTCTTACCATTTGCCTGGCATGTGCAGTGCTGAGCGGGTGCGCGTGAGCGGGTGTTCTTACAATTTGCCTGGCATGTGTGCAATGCTGAGCGGGTGCGCGTGAACGGGTGTTCTTACCATTTGCCTGGCATGTGCTGTGCTGAGCGGGTGCGGGTGAGCGGGTGTTCTAACCATTTGCCTGGCATGTGAGCGGTGCTGAGCGGATGCGCGTGAGCGGGTGTTCTCCCCGTTTGGCTGGCATGTGTGCAGCGCTGAGCGGGTGCGCGTGGACGGGTGTTCTTACCATTTGACAGGCATGTGTGCAGTGCTGAGCGGGTGCGCGTGAGCGGGTATTCTTACCATTTGCCTGGCATGTGTGCAGTGCTGAGCGTTACCATTTGGCAGGCATGTGGGGCGCAGTGCTGAGCAGGTGCGCGTGAGTGGGTGTTCTTACCATTTGCCTGGCATGTGTGCAGTGCTGAGCGGGTGCGCGTGAGCGGGTGTTCTTACCATTTGCCTGGCATGTGTGCAGTGCTGAGCGGGTGCGCGTGGACGGGTGTTCTTACCATTTGGCAGGCATGTGTGCAGTGCTGAGCGGGCGCGCGTGAGCGGGTGTTCTTACCGTTTGGCTGGCATGTGTGCAGTGCTGAGCGGGTGCGCGTGAACGGGTGTTCTTACCATTTGGCAGGCATGTGTGCAGTCCTGAGCGGGTGCGCGTGAGCGGGTGTTCTTACCATGTGCCTGGCATATGTGCAGTGCTGAGCAGGTGCGCGTGAACGGGTTTGCTTTCATACCATTTGCCTGGCATGTGTGCAGTGCTGAGCGAGTGCACGTGGGCGGGTGTTCTTACCATTTGCCTGGCATGTGTGCAGCGCTGAGCGGGCGCGCGTGGACGCGTGTTTTTACCATTTGCCTGGCATGTGTGCAGTGCTGAGCGGGTGCGCGTGAGCGGGTGTTCTTACCATTTGGCAGGCATGTGTGCAGTGCTGAGCGGGTGCGCGTGAACGGGTGTTCTTACCATTTGACAGGCATGTGTGAGCATGAACGGGTGTTCTTACCATTTGGCAGGCATGTGTACAGTGCTGAGCGGGCGCGCGTGAGCGGGTGTTCTTACCATTTGGCAGGCATGTGTGCAGTGCTGAGCGGGTGCGCGTGAACGGGCGTGCTTTCAAAGAACGGCAAACCTTCCACGGCGGCGAATGGCACAAATGGGAACAACAACAACAACAACAACAACAACAAGAACAACAACAACAACAACAACAACAACAACAACACAACAACAACAACCCCGCCACCGCCGCCACCACCACCACCAACAGCAACAACAACACCAACACCGACAACGACACCAACACCATCACCAACACCAGCACCAGCACCAGCCCCAACACCAACACCAACACCAACACCAACAATAAGAACAACAGCAACAGCAGCAGCAACAACACCAACACTAACACCAACACCGCCACCACCAACAACAACAACAACACCAGCAAGAGCAACGCCGCCTGAACAGAGTAATCTTGCAGTGTTGGCAGTTCTTGCCATGTCGGCAGTTTCTGCATCTCTTCATCCTGCTCACTGTCAGTCTCAACTGGTATTCCAGGTGTGATCTTCCGGCTTCATTCCCGCCGCCAGCGCCCATCAGTCACAACACAGTGCCCTGTTAGGCCAAAGCGTCGCAGTTGGCAGCAGTGCGCCGTCGGCGCCAAGCACTGTAGCCAGTTCATTTGCAATGAAGCTCAGCCGAATCAGTTGAATAGTACAGTGCGAGGATCTGCAAGTTGTCGTTGCCCTGGAACGCAGTCATACCTTGCGCGTTCTAGCGTGCGCTCTTCAGTACCAAGCAAATGCAGTGGCGTACAAATTCAGCTGACCAGCAGTGAACATGTGGCAGTCACTGTAGCCAGCATCCATGATTCCAGTGCTCGTCTCGGGTGGCGTCGCAAGGAACAGTGGAAAGTCAGTCTGGTCACAACATCACTGTTCGTGACACATCCATCCAGAGCCAACACCAGGGAACATTCTGTTCACACCCTGCAGTCTGAATTCCAGCCCTGATCATCAAAAGGTCCAGTCCAAAAATGCTCGCTGGGCTTGCTGCAGCGGTTTGCTCATTTCGGCGCAGGTATCCGAGCTCCATGACAGTGGCTTCCAGCCCAAAGTTTCTTGACAGTGTGCTGATTCCCAAATTCAGAGACGACGGTTGCAGTTGAGCAATCTCATGCTGCACCTAAGCTCCAGCAGTCCTCAGAGCAACCTGATCAGTGACCGGAGCAGTCATCTCATTGTCATACATCTCAGTGGGGAAATGCAGTAGCCATAGACAAGACCGACATTAAACTCAGCGCCAGTGAACAAAGCGGCTGCAGTGGTCAAGAGAAATGCTATGTACAAAAGCTAAGATTTCCCCCTTGGACAGCATGCAGTTAACAAGTAGTTTTAATTACATGTCTGTTCTACTCGGCGCAACCGTTAATGGCACACCAGTGAGTCATGCTCATAAACAGTTCAACAAACAGACCAGTTTGTGAGTTTGCAGATCAGAGGGGTGCTTCGACCCTTGGGGCTATGACGGCAAGGCCCACGCCAGACAACGCGTCAAGCGCGTGCGGCCTCCAGCTTGATCACGTCTCCAACAAGTTGCCATACGAACAAGTTCGACCAAGCAGACCAAGCGGCAAACAACCTTTCAAGTCAAAGTCAACCAAGCCAGTCATCATGTCTTCAGTCTTGACACTTCCACATCCAAGTTCAAAGGAACT